TTCTTTTTTCTTCTTTAGCTTCGGCTGTCTGCTCTAATTTATCTTTTCTTTGGGCCTAATTAATTACTTTCTTATATTTACTGTGCAGTTAGGTGGTGTATAACAGCAACTAAATATATGAATTAGTAAATATAAAGATTTGACTAAAATGACATAAAAATAAGTGTTCTGTTTTAAATTTCCTGTTTTAGAAATAATGCTGAATTAACACAGTGAAAGACAATTCCTTTCTCCTCTGCTTTTCACATATTTATTTATTTATTTTTTTTGTCTTTTTCGTGATTGGTAAGGGGATCGCAACCCTTGGCTTGGTGTCACCCGCACCGTGCTCAGCTAGTGAGCACACCAGTGCTCCCAGCGCTGCACTCTCCCAAGTGCGCCACGGGGTTGGCCCCACAGCTTTAATTTTTACAGTTCCTTCTTTCTTGTGAGCCATCATAAACTTATGTCTCAGGGCCATTTCCACATTACCCGTCTTGCAGAATCATAGACAGAGTTGGGAATTTGTGGTCAGAGTTGTATTGGACACACATGTGCGCATGTGTGCAAGCTATTTTATCTATTGTATATTAACTAGCTTTAAATATATATATTCCTACACCATTTAAAGCCATTTATAAAAGAATTAGTAGTTCTTATCTGAAGAAAACAACATGTAAACATATAGTTAGAATAACCATAATATCTTTTATTTTGGTTAGGAGCTGGTTTGTTGTTTTTGAAATTCAGGATGGTGAATGGTTTTAATTAACTTGTTTATTTTCAATAGATTTCAGGTTTACATTTGAGCTCAGAAACAAAGTATTCTTTCTCATTCCAGATAGGACTGAACTCTACATCTTTCCCCAGTGAGGAGCTGGCTGAAGCCACAAAAACTTTGCTGGATAGTCTTGGGTCTCTGGCCCAAGAGGTAAGTACCAGAAAGTTGACCATCCACTCTCACTTTTTCCAATTCTAGTTTGGCCAAGGGGTTCCTTTTGATTGGAATATCATATGAGATGTAGTATCAATTTTAGAAGCATAAGTGATCTAAAAAATGATGTTTTGATCTTTTTACTTTAGAGATGAAAAAACCAAGACTCAGAGGTTGAGATAATTACTTACTGGCTAAAGGCCCAATATCTAGTCCAGAACTTTCTCCCATTGTTTGTAATTCCCTCTGCCCTGAGGTAATGGTATTTATAAAGAGAAGAATTCTCTCTCTCACCCACCATGCACTGCTTTTGTGTGACCAGCAACTTCTCAATTTTGCCTCCTCAGTAGCAAGGCCACAGTGGTTTTACCAAAACAAGTGTTTGCTACGTAGAGGGGATGACACAGTACCTCTAACTCAGCCTTTGAGGTTCAACTTAGGGAATACGGTCTCTTAATGAACATTAAGTGGCGTTTGCCTGTTAGGACTTGATGTTGACAAATGTACCGGGGTAATCTTTGTACTAGGATCAGAAGGCCTGTAGGCGCTTGCGAAAACAATTAACCTTTCCTGACTCCCAGCCTGCCAATGCTTCACGTGCCTGACTCCCAGCCTTGTTTCAAATTAGACTGAGAAAGGTGGAGCTGTCTGGAGCCCCCAGGCATAAGGAGCTAAGCCAGGGCCAGTGGGCACCAGCAATGCAGGCTGTATGCTATAGGACATGGGAAAAGATTAATTTGTGGGGAAATTTTCNGAATTCTCTCTCTCACCCACCATGCACTGCTTTTGTGTGACCAGCAACTTCTCAATTTTGCTTCCTCAGTAGCAAGGCCACAGTGGTTTTACCAAAACAAGTGTTTGCTACGTAGAGGGGATGACACAGTACCTCTAACTCAGCTCTTCTCTTGTCAACATCCGGCCTTTGAGGTTCAACTTAGGGAATACGGTCTCTTAATGAACATTAAGTGGCGTTTGCCTTTTAGGACTTGATGTTGACAAATGTACCGGGGTAATCTTTGTACTAGGATCAGAAGGCCTGTAGGCGCTTGCAAAAACAATTAACCTTTCCTGACTCCCAGCCTGCCAATGCTTCACGTGCCTGACTCCCAGCCTTGTTTCAAATTAGACTTAGAAAGGTGGAGCTGTCTGGAGCCCCCAGGCATAAGGAGCTAAGCCAGGGCCAGTGGGCGCCAGCAATGCAGGCTGTATGCTATAGGACATGGGAAAAGATTAATTTGTGGGGAAATTTTCTCAGACTTGGTCCAGCCTTATTTTTAGCTGCTTCTCTCTCTCTCTCTCTCTGTCTGTCTTTTTTGGCTCATGTATCTAACTTACCTATTTTTTAGTGCCCATATCATTGTTTCCAAATTCCAAAATTCGTGTTTTCCGACAATAAAAGCATTGAGTGTTCATTGTGGAAAATGCAGAACATTTGGAAAATACATACAGAAAACACCGAGATTACACACTGTTGACCTTTTAGTGTATTTTCTTCTGTCCTGTTCTTTCTTTTAATTCTGCTGTGTCTGGAATTGAATAGGCTTGACTTTCAAGAGGAGAAGCCCTCTTCCAGCCTATCATTCGTTACTCTGGTTATGAAGGCTGGTGGCCTTTTACAAGGTGGAGAAGCTGGGCCAACCGGGGTTCTTCCAGGAGGCAGAAAGAGAAAGAGAAGCTGCTTGGCAAGTCCATGGCTGTTCCTCCAGGGCCCTGTTAGCTGACATGGACATGCCCTGCATTGCCCGGGCAGGTCCAGCCCTCTTCCCCCTTGTTCATTTCTGGCCTTACAGAAAGCAAAGCAGGGACTGTCACAGGGGAGGCTGCCTCTAAACTCAGCATTTGGTTACATCTGTTTTCTCTGACATCACTGGCCCTGCCTTTTGTCTGGAGTAAAAAAAAAAAAAACAATAATTGCAAGCATATGACGTTCCCATGCTAATGAAACTCTCCAGCTGAACAATATGCATTTTTCTTGGCAGCCACTTTTTGTGCCCTGCTTGCTCCTGGTCCAGGACAAGTGAGGGAGAACCACCTGCTTCTCTCAGTAGAGCACCTTCAAGTGACTTTGCTGACAAGTTACTCATGGTCTAACTTGCAGTTTCTGTGGGACACATGGGAGAAGATAAGCAAATACATTTGTGTGTTTGGTCAGTATTTGGAAAGAAAGTGGGTTGTTTGGACCAACACACAACCCTGGAAAGGAAAAAGGGAGCTTGCATTTTCTGAGCAGTTGATGTAGTTTCACCCCATTTCTGGGTATAATCCACATGACAAACCTAAGGTGGGTCCTACTGTGCCCATTTTACAGATGACACTGAGGCTCAGAAAAGTTAGGCAACTTGTCCAGTCACCCAGTAAGTTAATTGGCAGAACTGGGATTTGAACCCTGGACTGTTGGACTCCAAAGCCTGTGTTCTTTCTTGTTGCTTTCTATTCCAGTATACCTCGGAGTTCATGATAAACTCTGGTGGTAACTGGAGGAGAAAGGAGACCCTTCAAAGGACTGTTGGACTCCAAAGCCTGTGTTCTTTCTTGTTGCTTTCTATTCTAGTATACCTCGGAGTTCATGATAAACTCTGGTGGTAACTGGAGGAGAAAGGAGACCCTTCAAAGAAAAAAGTAGGAGCTGGCAATTGGGTAGAAGTGGGACTTACAGAGTGAGAGAGATGAATCAAAGCTGACTTGAGGTTCACGTGTGAGTGATGGGGAAGGTGTGTCTGACAAGACTGGGAAGCAGGACAGGGAGGCAGCGTCCCAGATCTTCCCTACCCAGCACCAGCCAGGTGTTTGGCATTGCTGGATGTTGGGGGCTCAGCAGTGAACATGCTAACTTCTCTGTATAATGTGACAGAAGGAATACATGCAGTGAAGAAAAATAAAGCAGGGTAAGGGGGACGGACAGTGCTCTATGAATATTTCACAAGCTGCTATTTTAAAGGGGGTGAGTAGGGATTTGATAACTGTCTCTTTGATAAAGGGACAGTTAAACCTGAAGGAGGTGACAGCCTGTCCTTGGAGAGGGAAGGTTTGATAACTGTCTCTTTGATAAAGGGACAGTTAAACCTGAAGGAGGTGACAGCCTGTCCTTGGAGAGGGAAGGGCACTCCAAGCAGGGAGAAGACTAGATATGGGCACTCCAAGCAGGGAGAAGACTAGATATGAAGTCACTGATGATAGGGCACGTTTAAGAACCATGTTTAAAGACCAGGAAGGAGGCCAGTGTGGCTGAAAGAAAGTGAGCAAGTGAGGTGGTGGCCAGAGGTGAGATCAGAAAAGGAGGCGAGCACTGTAGAGGCCCTGTAAGGCTTTGAGTTTATTTGGAGTGAAATGGGAAGCCAGTGGAGGTTTGTAGCAGTGGGGGACACGATGTGACCTAGAGTTTACACTCTGGCTGTTTGATCGAGAAGAGATGGGGTGGGGGTGGGGGCACGGGAGGATGAAGACCATTGCAGTGGATTGAGAAAGCAGTAAGTCAGTTACCCATTCATTCACTCAGCAGATGATTATCTAACAGCACCAGCATTTGTGGGCTGGAGGATGAAAGGCGGCCTCTCCCTGTGAGTCATGTAGAGCTTCACAGAGCAAGAGTAGAGTGTTAGCTGAGGTGTGGGAGGATGAGAAGGAGTTTGCCCCAAAGAAGGTGCTGGGAAGAGCCAACAGTTTGCAATAACTCAGTGATTGTTGGTACCTCTCTCCAAAGATGTGTTGGCTTTACATGGGAAGAAATGTGGTTTTTGATTGGGGGTTGGTAAGCTGGAGGTAGGGAGGCAGCCTGTGGAGAGAGACGTGAGTGGATTTTACTCACTGTCATTTAAGCATCTCTAAGGCTGTTCCATCAACCAATGAAAGTTTCTTTCTGAAATGAAAGGTTCCCTTCCCCATCTATGTGCCCCACATAGGTTATGAAAAGATAAAGCAAGGAAAAGCTACCTACCTAATTGTGTTCTTGTAGAGTGTGCTAGATGCTTCCTCTCTGTAGAGAGAAATCTGTGTGACTTCTGACCCACCCCTGGAAAGTCTAGCTCCAAACTGGAGGCAGAAGGCGAAGGTTAGGACCTACAGTTGTCAGGACCATGTCACTCAGGGAACCAGCAGGCTCTGAGAGGTAGAAACCTGGACACATGGAATCTTCCAGGGTGTGTGCACGGTCCCACAACCTCACCTTTTTGCTTTCCATGGCTTAGTCTTCTCAGGTGGTGAGAACATGCAGTGATATTTCAAGGAATGTAGGGCTTTATTAATGATTTATTGTGAAATGTGTGGATATCCAAAGTGCTCTATAAATATTTAATAATAAGAGCAATTGGCCAAGAACTCTACAAGGTGCTGGAGTACATTTGTATGTGAGAGAAAGCACTGTGTATCAGTGATGTTTGTTGAGTATAAGCCACGGACAGCCTAGCTGCCTGGGGCTCCTGACATCCTGTTCGGGGCTGTTCTGTGCAGGGCACTCTCGTGTGTATCATGTGATTTACTCCTCACTATGCTCTGTTTTAGCCTCATCGTCTTGATGAAAAGTTGGGACTTCAGAGACGTGGTATGACTTTTGTAAGGCTGTAAACTAATGAGGGACATAGCTAGAATTCAATCAGTCTCCCACCTTATGCTTTTTCCATTGCTTGACACTTGACAGAGATTAGGGTAGGGGACGTAGCTGTTCAGAGAAAGCATTGGAAGATAATCCCAATGAAACAAAGTATCTTGATGAAAAGTTGGGACTTCAGAGACGTGGTATGACTTTTGTAAAGCTGTAAACTAATGAGGGACATAGCTAGAATTCAATCAGTCTCCCACCTTATGCTTTTTCCATTGCTTGACACTTGACAGAGGTTAGGGTAGGGGACGTAGCTGTTCAGAGAAAGCATTGGAAGATAATCCCAATGAAACAAAGTCCATCCCCAGGGGCTCCACTAACTTCTAGGCTGTGCTTCTCAAAGTTTAATGGGCATAGGAATCACCGGAGCATCTTGTGAAAATGCAGGTTTGAATTCTGCACACTAGCAGAAGGGGATCTCGGTACCTGCATTTTAAACAACCTCTCATATAATGCTGATGCTACTGGTCTGTGGACCTGAAATCAGCAAGGTTCTGGCAAACCTATCACAAGGCTTCGAGATGACGGACAAAGTATGTTCTGGGACATGGCTTTTGAGAGGTCAAGAAAATAAAATGTTCTTTCTCTTCTCTGTCCCCAACCTTCTCCGTCCTTTCCTCCCTCTCCACTTCCTCCCCATCTCTGACACCAGCTGTTCAGCATGAGGAGCTGGAGTGACATGCGGCAAGAGGTGATGTTTCTGACCAACATGAACAGCTCCAGCTCCTCCACCGAGATATACCAGGCTGTGTCCCGCATCGTCTGTGGCCATCCTGAGGGTGGGGGACTGAAGATCAAGTCCCTCAACTGGTATGAGGACAACAACTACAAAGCCCTCTTTGGAGGCAACGGCACTGAGGAAGATGCTGACACCTTCTATGACAACTCGACAAGTGAGCATCTGCAGACCAATCCCCGTCCCCAACCCTGTCCTAGCTCTAGACTCAGGCCGTGTCACCTCCTCCCTCTGTAGCAGTGTTAGATGCCTGTTTGCCCACCAGACTGAGCTCCTGGGGGAGAGAGGTTCTTCCTAATAAGCTGACTGTCCCCAGTTCTTTGAGTGGGGCTTGACACATCTCAGGTGCACAGTAGTGTGTGTCAAGTAATGAAAGATTGAAAGTCAGACTCCCCAATTTTCTGGTGGATGTGGGAAGGTGACTCCCAGAGTAATCAGGGATGAGATAGATACTGGCAGAAAGCCAAATCTTGCATGATCTCACTTGTATGTAAAATCTGAAAAAATCAAAAAATCGTAAAAGCAGAATGGAGGTTGCCAGGGGCTGGGGGCAGAGGATGGGGAGATGTTGGTCAAAGGATACAAAGTTTCAGTTATTCAAGGTGAGTAAGTTCTGGAGATCTAGTGCACATCATGGTGACTATAGTTAATAACACTGTATTGTATACTTGAAATTTACTAACAGTATATCTTAAGTGTGCTCACCGCACAGACAAAAAATGGTAACTGTGAGGTCATGGATATATTAATAGCTTGACTGTGGTAATCTTTTTACAATATATACATATAACAAAACATCATGATGTCATGATGTACACCTTAAGTTTATGCAATTTTTGTCAATTATACCTCAATAAAGCTGGAAACATTTTTTTTAAAGGATGAGAGGCTAGTACTTTTATCATTTTTATTGTTATTATTACTCCCATTGAGGTAAGCTTTATAATAAAAACTTAAAAAGGAGTTATCAGTAATAATAATAGTAATAATAATAACAACAACAAAAGCTAACATTTAGGTAAAATTTCCTATATTCTGTGCATTCTATTTATCTCATTTCACCCTCATGGTAACCCTGCAAGGGATGTTCTGCAACCCTCATTTCATAAGCTTAGGGAGGTTAAATGCCCAAAGCCACTTGATCATAGCTGATCCAAGAGAACAAGAAATCAAGTCCAAATCCACCTGGCACCATGCTTTTTCCTGTAAACCACACCACCTATAAATTACCTGTTAATAGTGGCGTGTGTGTACCATCCCACTTGAATATTCGATCTGCTGTTTATTTCTCGCTCTTAGTTGCAAGGCAGTGCTAACCTTGTAACACCATATCTGCTACCCACACTTGGGCAGTGTTGTGGGGATGGGTGTCCTGTGCCTGGTGGCAGCAGGGATCCAGTGTTACAGTTTCAAACAATGGCATCCTTTTCCTGGAAAACATGATGCTGGTGAGCTGTTCTCCATTTCCAACCGCAGGTGTGTCTTTCAGACACTGAGCGAGGAAGCTTTTTGTACATTACTGTAACACAAGAACCTTTTATGCTTCTGGAGTAAAACACTCCAGACATTGCAAGTTGCTTTTACAAGCCCGAGGAGGATGGCATTAGGGGCAGCTTTATGAAATGCCATCTTTCTCCCCCAGCTTGCACATCAACCCAAGGGAGGTTGGTAACAAATCCTCTTTTAAGAAAATTCTATTATCTTCACAGCATGTAGAGGATACTTGGTAACTAACAAAAACTGGAAAAACCCAGAATAAAAAAAAATTGGGGGTTCCTTGCAGATAATCAAACCTACTTGTCTGTTACAACTTTGGATTTTTTGTTTTGCATTTTTATTAAGTATAAGTATACTGGCAATGAAATTTATTAATTAAAGGGAAAATTTTGGTTATTGAAAACTAAAGTCTGAATTCAGCCCTCTGATCTCCCCTCAAGAGTCCTGGTGATTTTCAGTGAAAACAGAGTGGTAAGGGCTGGCATGAGGGTATGAACCTAGAGTTATGAGGGCTTGTGCATAGTAAAAACATTTTTCTAGCTCGGCTTGGTTGTGAGTTGGCCATCATCAGTGTTATAATAAGCTGATTATTTACCAAGCATCATTATAGCTTTACAGATAACATCTAAGTTAATCCTCTCTACATTTCTGCCAAGTAGATATTGTGAACATTATTTTTTCAGAAGAGCAAACTGAGCTCAGACGAATAAAGTTATTTGTTACTTGATTGTTAAGTGGTAGAGCTGGAATGTGAACCCAAGACTGTCTGTCTGGCTCCAAAGCCCTTGTAAGTCCCTACCAGCATATGACCATGCCTATGAATGAGTTTCATCTTCCATCTTCTTTGTAGCTCCTTATTGCAACGATTTGATGAAGAATCTAGAGACTAGTCCTCTTTCCCGCATTATTTGGAAAGCTCTCAAGCCACTGCTTGTTGGGAAGATCCTGTACACGCCTGACACTCCAGCCACGAGGCAGGTTATGGCTGAGGTAAGCTGCCCAGGCCCAAGACTTCCTCCCCAGAATCCTCCCAGAAATAGAAGCAAAATAAAGGTGGCTTCAGATGGAGTGTGCTGAGTATACTCATGGCTCTTCTGGGACTTCCAAAGAATGAAAACCTCAAGTCTAATCCAGACCAGAGCTGGCCATTGAGGGCCAGCTCCCCAGCCTTAGGTATTTAAATCATGACTATAGGCAGGCATTTCTTGGGGATAGGGGGTGAGGGAATGACAAGGGGTTGCTGAGATGGAGTATCTTTTCAGGGAGTAGCTGAGTTGCTCATTGTCTCTGCCTCTCCTCCTTTTTCTGTGGGCCCTGGCTCCCTGCCTGACTCAAGGTGAACAGGACCTTTCAGGAACTAGCTGTGTTCCACGATCTGGAAGGCATGTGGAAAGAGCTCAGCCCCAAGATCTGGGCCTTCATGGAGAACAGCCAGGAAATGGACCTTGTCCGGGTGAGTGTCCTCTGATTACTATGTGGCTGCTTAATACTGGAGAGTTGAGTTTCTGGTCACTTTCCCAGAAGTGACTGAGATGAGAATTCTTTAAGTTGAGATATAGTGAGCATAGCTCAAGCCACAGGGCTGCTGCCTTTCTGGAAGTACAGGCCATGGTGCAGAGGTAACAGTGTGCACATTGGCATCCATGTCTCTGGTGGTCAGTGGATATACAGGCCATGGTGCAGAGGTAACACTGTGCACATCAGCATCCATGCCTCTGGTGGTCAAATACCAATTTTCTACAAAACGTAATGAGGGCTGGTATTTGGAAGTAGTTTGGTGCTTGTAGGATCTTGGCTATTTTTATTTCTGCCTCCAGCTCCTGACCCAGTCTCAGCATATTCTTTAGCCTTCCTGTGTCTTGGTAGTTCTTAGAAGAAGGTGTGGGGGCAAAAGTGTGGTCTGACACGTAGACAGACCTGAGATATTTGTTCCTAAGGCACTGTTGTGCGCAGAGCTGCCGTCACTGCGTGGAGGGAGGGGAATTGCAGTTAGTGCTTCCGAGCCACTTGAGGGAGATAAGTGCTCTAGAGACAATTGGATTCGGAAGCGGAGCAGTCTCAGCAAGAACAGAATGTCTCCTTTGCTTGAGCTTGAGTGCCATTTAATCACATCTTCCCTGCCTTGGGCTGAGTGAGAGTCATGAGACTATTTCCTATTTCCGTGGTAAGGGGGGCCTCTTCCTTTTGTCTCTGCTGCCACTAAGAAGTAGGAGAGGATTTTGCCTGCTTTCTTGTCTTAGACTGCATTGATCCAAGGGATGGCTGAGTTTTAGAGGCTGTACCTGCCTGGTGGGAACTCTTCTGAAGTTGGGGACTGTCCCCTGGTATCCTAGGAGGCAGGTTACCAGAGAAGAAAGCTCCGGTGATGAGAAGCCAGGGTCTCCTTTGTTGCACTAGTCCTTTTACACAAGTGCAGAATTCTTCAATTGGAGCCTGTAAACAAGGAACTTCAGTGAGAAAAGCATGAACAATAATTTGTATGCATATACACTGACTAATAGCAATAGCTCATGCCCTCCAAGTGTGGGTCTCTGCTGGGCTGCAGTCTCTCCTCTGTAAGGAATTCACATGATCTTGCCATGGACAGCACTGTAGACCTCAGTGTGGTCTCAGGCCTCTTCTTCCTGGTCTTCTCCTAAGAATCCATATTTCTTCTAGCTGGATTTTTTCTCTATGGGTCTCAGAGTATGATAAGGGGTCCTGCGGACTCGGTGAGTTTTGATTTGTGGGCTAATAGACACTTCCCTACTCTTAAATCGAGAGTTTGCCTTTGACACTCCAACTGCATATAAGCTCCCAGTTCTTATAGGACAAGGCCCTTGTAAACATGGCAGTGGTGTTCATTAGGAATCTAGCTGGGAGAATCCAGGGTGTGTGATAGGAAATGGAGAAGCTATGGCTAAAGCGAAAGGCATGGCATGCCTTAGAGAGACTTTTGTGTCAAGCTTAGGAACTTAAGCCCTGGGGGACCATGAAAGAATTTTAAGCAAGGGGAGATGAAGATGTGGTACTCTGATATGATGGATGAATTGAAGAGGGAGGATGGATGGATGGAAGGCAGAGAGCAGGGCAGAGGCTCTCCGAGTGTATGGCCAAGGTATAATGCAGGAGGTGAGGCTGGGGACTGCTTGGTTGTGGGGCAGTGAACGAGCCGGAGGCATCAGGGTGATTCTTGATTTTCAGTTGGGTGGATGGTGGAGACGTCCAGTAGGCTGTTGGCTTTTGGGGTCTGCAGTGCAGGAGGGTGGTCAGGGCTGAAGACACAGATTAGATACCCGTCCTCCTGGGGTGGAAGTCAGAGGAGCCTCCTTCAAGTGCTTTCCTCCCTCCCTTAAGGAGTGTTCACTTACCTCCACCAGCATGGGATTCTCAGCACCTCTTGCAGCCAGACATCTGGTCTATGAGGCAATGCCTGAGGCTAGTGCTTTTGCTGGGGTAGCCCTTATCTTTCTGCTGTCTCTGCCCACTGTCAGTGACCTCACTGGGCATATCTCTGTGGTCTTGCTGTCCTTCTTGGACATGTTGCCACACTGGGCAGGGCAGCCCTACCCCAAATGCCATTTCTCTTCATACTGCTCTTATTCGTTCAGTTCAAGTATCCAGAGTAGTTTCAGAATTGCCAGCTCATGCCTCTGTGAACTTTTGTGAGGTGCAACTTTGTATCTATTATGTTAACAAAATACATATAATTGTTTTACTGATGAGAGTATAAATTGTTATTCCTTCCTGGAAGGCAATTGGGAATGAAAATTTCAAGAACCATAAAAAATATGCCAACCTCCATTCCACACAGCCCCAGGGATGTAGCCTGTAGAAGTAATTTTAAAGAAGTCACCGTATGAGAGAAAATGTTATGGCGCTAATAATTGTTATTGTGAGAAATTGGAAATAGACTAAATGCTCAGCAGTACAGGAGTAGTTAATGAAATTATAGTATATAAACTTTATAAAGTCATTGTGCTGCCATTAAAATAATAAGTATGAAGCCACAAGGGGAAAAAGTTTATAATGTTAGTGAAAATAAGACTGATTAACAAAAGCAGCAGTCTTCAGACCCCTGGAGATTGCAGTGCGGTAGAGCCAGGGCTGCTGCTTCCCTCCCGATGCTGTGGCAGGCGTTGCAGGTGCGTCTTCTTTTTGCTGAGTTGGCAGCCCACCTGTTTTCCTGGCAGCAGCGCATCTGCACAGGTCTCTGCGCCAGCCCCTCTGGATCTGCTGGTTGAGCACCAGATTGACTTGTCCTTCTCTTTCTTGGTGGCCCAAGCGGCTAGGGAGAATAGGAGATGGAAAATAGGCCTCCTTTGTGTCATAATCCATACAATTGGTCATGCAGTTGGGAAAGATTATATTTTACTTGGTTTAACTAGCAGCATAGTTTTCCCTAACTAAGCAGTAAAAGTAGGTTCAGTCTAGAGATAGGGTTTTTATGTAGGATCATCAGACTGGGTCTCGGAAGAAGAGGGGCAATATAATGCAGTGAGGGGGTACATTAGAGTCTGAGGGTTTGTGTTTCATATCCTGGCTTTGCTACTTATTAGCTGTGTGGCCTTATATTAGGGACTAAACCTCTCTGAACCTCACTTTCCCATCTGTAAAATGGGAAATATTAATGGTACTCTCCTCATGGAGTCAACATAGTAACTGTACAGAGTAAGTAGTATTGCTGTAACTGTTGTTAATACCATTAAGCTGAGCTATTTGATATAATGGAAAGGAGGTGTACTCTGAATTCTGATGGCTCTGACTGTTAAGTCACAAGTCCATACCTACCTATTATTATTATCATTGTGACTCAGCCTTGGTTAAAATCACATTCTTTTTTATTGAACCTCAGTCTTCTCACTTGTAAAATGGGGACATTGTTATCTACCTCATAATTTTCTGTGAAGATAAAAAAAGAGATAATGTATGTGAAGGCATCAAATAGCGCTCATCAAGATTTAGTTGGTGTTTACTACTTGTATTTTCTCACTGGAATGGCAGATGCTCTTGGACAGCAGAGGCAATGACCACTTTTGGGAACAGCAGTTGGAGGGCTTAAATTGGACAGCTCAAGACATTGTGGCATTTTTGGCCAAGCACCCGGAGGATGTCCAATCTGCTACTGGCTCTGTGTACACCTGGAGAGAAGCTTTCAATGAGACCAACCAGGCAATCCAGACCATAACTCGCTTCATGGAGGTGAGTGGAAAAAAAGATGTTAGGGTTCTTTGTGCTGGCATTATCCATTTTTATGAAAGAGGGTGGATCACTGATAAAAATGGAATGGTTAAGTAAATTTTGGTAGGTTCACTCGATGCAATGTTAGGTAGCCAATGGAGGGGAAGAAACCAAACCAGCAAGTAGTATGCTTGTTCTGACTGTGTCTATTTACGAGTTATGTGTACGTGTTAACGGAGACCAGAAACTAAGATACAAAAATAAGAATAGTGTCTTGGTGTAAGGGTGGTGAGATTGTGGGTGGTTGGATTTTGTTGTTGTTGTATGGTTCTAAAGGAATTCTTGATCACTTGTGGTTTGATTTTATATCTGTTATGTGGGTCATTTAGAAAAGGCTATGGCTTCTTTCTCTGAAAATAGTTTGGACTGTAGGAAAGTGTAGAAATAAAATGTGTATAGTCTTACATCAGTATCCCTCAGGCCTAATACAGGGCTTGGCATACAAGAGGCACTCAATAATATTAGTTGAATGAGTAAATAAAACAAAATCTAGGTTTATTCTATATTGACTCAAGATCTGTTATGTGGGTCATTTAGAAAAGGCTATGGCTTCTTTCTCTGAAAATAGTTTGGACTGGAGGAAAGTGTAGAAATAAAATGTGTATAGTCTTACATCAGTATCCCTCAGGCCTAATACAGGGCTTGGCATACAAGAGGCAATCAATAATATTAGTTGAATGAGTAAATAAAACAAAATCTAGGTTTATTCTATATTGACTCAAGAATGTTTCTATCCATTGTCTTCCAGGTTTTTCTACGTTCATGCATACGAATGCCTAATCGCAAGAAAGCATTCCTTTAAGATGTTATTATTTAGGAAACTTATCCAAAATCTAATTCAGGACAGATAAAAGTTTTAAAATTTAGTTCTAAAAATTATGTTACTTAATAGGGATGAATAAAAGATTTTTTTTGCTCTATTTGATTGTTTGATTAGTTGCTGTTACTCAAAATTGCTATAAAAACATAAAGGAAAATAAAATATTATCCTTGTTTTCACCCCTTTCTCTCCATAAAAATCAATGCTAGTAACTTATCTCTAAATACTTTCAGCATTTCTCTTAAATTTCAGTTAAAAACCAAAATGATCCATTCCTGGTTGAAGATTAGACAACTACTTTAGAAAGGATTAGAGAGTGAGGATAAAAAATCATGCAGTTAGTACTTGCCTTGTAGGGTAGCATCTGTGTCGGCCACTGCCTGTTTTCCTGACCACCAGTGTTCTCACAAAGGCTGTTCCTCCACCAGTGTGTCAACCTGAACAAGCTGGAGCCGATAGCAACAGAAGTCCGGCTCATCAACAAGTCTATGGTGCTGCTGGATGAGAGGAAGTTCTGGGCTGGTATCGTGTTCACTGGAGTCACTCCAGGCAGTGTTAAGCTGCCCCACCATGTCAAGTACAAGATTCGAATGGACATTGACAATGTGGAGAGGACGAATAAAATCAAAGATGGGTAAGTGGAATCCCATCGCCACAGCCCAGTCTTGGGGAAGTCAAGTGCAGCTATTATGACAAGAGGTACTTTATTTTAACTAATAATTTAGTAGAAATTTCAACAAAAAATAACTCAAATGGGTGGCACGATTTTGGTGAAATTGGTACATTCATTTCTAAAGGGCATTCTTTCAGAGGTCATAAGATATCAGTAGCTATTGATTCAGCATTTCCACTCAAGGGAATTAATCCCAAGGAATGAAGTCAACAGCAACAACAACAAAAATAAATAAGGAAAAAAAGATGTTAGGGTTCTTTGTGCTGGCATTATCCATTTTTATGAAAGAGGGTGGATCACTGATAAAAATGGAACGGTTAAGTAAATTTTGGTAGGTTCACTTGATGCAATGTTAGGTAGCCAATGGAGGGGAAGAAACCAAACCAGCAAGTAGTATGCTTGTTCTGACTGTGTCTATTTACGAATTATGTGTACGTGTTAACGGAGACCAGAAACTAAGATACAAAAATAAGAATAGTGTCTTGGTGTAAGGGTGGTGAGATTGTGGGTGATTGGATTTTGTTGTTGTTGTATGGTTCTAAAGGAATTCTTGATCACTTGTGGTTTGATTTTAGGTACTGGGACCCTGGTCCTCGGGCTGATCCCTTTGAAGACATGAGGTACGTCTGGGGCGGCTTTGCCTACTTGCAGGATGTAGTGGAGCAGGCGATCATCAGGGTGCTGACGGGCACCGAGAAGAAAACTGGTGTCTATGTGCAGCAGATGCCCTACCCCTGCTATGTTGATGACATGTAAGTTACCCACAAACCACCGTCTTTATTTAACCAGTTAGCACTTTTCCAGGTAGAATGTGTGTGTGTGTGTGTGTGTGTGTGTGTGTATGTGTGAATCATCTGGAAATAAGATGCCAGATATAGGTTTCAGCCACATCATAGACAGAAATACTTACGTGCCCACAAGTAATCCTCCCTCTTTTCTTGCCCATGGTTACCACTGCTTTTATTTTTTATATTCTACTCTTTTGGTCAGAATTTGCCCAGTCTGCAAGTTTGAAATGTGTCATGGGCAAACACATGCAAGCACATATTCTCACGTACCTCCAAACACAGAAACAGCAGTCTACACTTGTAAAAGCAGATTTGGTGTCAATTTATCCACTTCCTCTAAGTGGTAAACCACATTTTGAAACAATCCAAATGAAACTGAACAAAGCTTCTTTGTCTTAGATTTTTTAAGATAATCTTTTAGTGTTTAGTCACTAAGCTGGCAAGTTCTTATTGTGGGAACTCTGCCTTTGGATCTAATGATTTCTTATAAGTGAGAATGGGCAGAGGTGTAGTTATTCCAAACATCTGAAATATTTAATGTGCCTTCCAAATTCTGGAAATTCTCTTATTCTCTGTTTTTGTTGGTGGTGGTGTGTGTGTATGTGTGTGTAGGAATTGGTGCAGAAAGAGCAGGTTCCTTTCCTTGTGTTTGCTGTTTTGCATTGAATGACCTATTTCCTTGTATGGTTATCTAGCTTTTCCAGGTCATCAGAAAATATCTTGCTTTTCACCTTCAGAATAATTAGACAGAATTTTCCAAAGGACTTTTCTAAAGACCCCTAAGCCAAGGTTTACTCTAGAAAGGATGTCTTAACATGAGAATACGGGAGTTCAGGGGCATTAAGAGCCTTGCTAGTTGTCACACAGTGAGTAAATGCCTAAGTGATAAATCTGGGACTTGAACCTCAAGTGGCAGGGTCCAAAATCTGTGTCCCTTTTACTTTGCAGCATTGCATTTCCTAGTCTAGTTTGGAATCGGAAATATTACTGCCTGAAGTGTATTCCTGCACTGTGATAAGAGTTATGCTAAGCAAATCAATAGTGAGATGATGTTGGAGGTGTTGAATGAGAGCATGAGTTGGGTTTTTGTTTTTGTTTTGATTCTTAGTACTTTAAAATAATTCACTTTTAGCTTAATGACATTCCACAGTTACTAAGTTCTTACAGAAAACCCCCAAAGAAAGTTTACTTGGCGACACTGTGTTAGCCTAATTTTTATGCCTACCTTATGCTGTTCATGAAGCATCCATTAAGCTGTGCATTTCAGAGTCCAGAGTGCCCGCACTTCTGTGGCCCAAGTGTGGTGTTCCTCCAGCATGCAGGCTCTGAGGCCTTGACCCCATGAGCCTGGCTCACATGTGTCTTTCATTCTCCCCTTGCCCTCCAGCTTCCTGCGGGTGATGAGCCGGTCAATGCCCCTCTTCATGACACTGGCCTGGATTTACTCTGTGGCTGTGATCATCAAGGGCATAGTGTATGAAAAGGAGGCACGGCTGAAGGAGACCATGCGGATCATGGGCCTGGACAATGGCATCCTCTGGTTTAGCTGGTTCATCAGCAGCCTCATCCCCCTGCTCGTGAGCGCCAGCCTGCTCATGGTCATCCTGAAGGTAAATCTGCCTCACTCACTCTTCCTTGCTAGAGAACTCCTGAACAGTCCAACACAGCCTAAGGGAGGAGAGGAAGAAAAGCACACTCTGGGAGGCCAGGCATTCTACATGTCATTTCCTACAGTTCCCTCCGTTTATAGTTGGAGAAAGTGAGGCCCAGAGAGGGGGCGGCAACCTACCCAAGGTCAACCCAGCTGGTTAGCAGCTAAGCATGACTAGAATTCAGGGCTCGTGCTTTCCAGGTAAGCACCTACTTAACTGCACCATGCTGCCTACTTGGCAGTGGCTCGTGGATGCTTTCTTAGAAGAACTGGGTGGTCCCAAAGTGTATAAAAACTATAATCAGAAGGATATATGCTGTCACAGGTCAGGTTGTCTGTAGGCAGAGGCTGAAACAGAGTTTGGCATATGGTTATTTATTAGGGATCAACACTTGTGGAAGGGATGTGGGGTGTGCAGGATTGGGCAGAGGGAGGAGTTGAACTGTAGTGTGTGGCCAATCCCCTGGGGCACCCTGGAGCATATACAGTTTGGTGGAGTTGTTCCTCACTGAGCTGAAATGTCTGGCCCCTTTTGCTCCCTCAAGGCCTCCCTCCCTGACACTCTCTATCTCAGCCCCATCAGTCAGTCAATGAATGTTGGCTGCCCTGGAAAGTGTTATGTTCCAGGGCCAGATGGCTCTCTGTAGCTGTGACAAACCCAGAGATGTTGACACCTGGGGGCTGTCTACTGACAACCAGCAATAAGCCCGCCCTTAAAGGAGACTCTGGACAGTGCACTTTTGTGTCTGCCCCATACATTAACATATGTATATCCCAGTGTTCTTTCTGTGCAATCATTTCATATAAGGATGAATGATGTAAAAATAAATATTTTTGAGAAGAGGAGAGTGCAAAGGGATAGGAAGTGACATTTAATTTAATACTAGCTACCATCTGCTACAACTGAGCATTTACTGACTGCTGAGCACTGTTTAAAGCACATCACATGTGTTGCCTTATTATGTCCTCACTAAATAACCCATTTAACATACAAGCAAACAAAGCCAAAGGTCAAAGCCTTCACTGAGGGCACACAGCAGGATGGCAGAGCCAGGATTTGAATGCAGTTCTTGCTAAAAGCAAACCCGTCCCTCATGCTCTGGTATCTAACTGCAAGGGGCTGAGCTCTGTGGTAGGGTGGTGGTCCTGCAGCTAGCACATGGGTGCTGCTCTGGAACCACTGCAGGCTGGCGGGTCCTGCTGAAATATACCCAGTGGCTGGGGAGAAGCTCAGAATATCCATAAGAGTTCAAATAATTGTGAGAATGCAGAATCCATGGTTATCAGAGGGAAAATCAAGATTGCCTGGCCATTTCCCTCAGCTTTTGGAGAGAGCAGTCATGTGGGACATTATTTCTCACAACTCTTTTTGGTGCCAACAGTCATAGTCCTTATAAAAAGAGAAACCAGTTAATATTACCTGTTGGAGAAATGAATAGCAAAATCAGCCATTGAGATAGAATAGAAAGCCCTGGACTCTGTTCTATTCCTAACTCTGCCATGATTTTTCTGTGTAGTCTTGGGTAAGTCCTTTCTATTCTTGAGGCCTCAATCAGAAAAATGAACAGCATTATTTCTGCATTATCTCTAAGATGAGTATGAATGAACCCTGAATTTTTTTCCATAGATCACACAAGTGAGTGCTTGGGCTTGTTGAGGCAGCTCATTTAATGGGTCTCTTCCTTCCCAGTTAGGAAACCTGCTGCCTTACAGCGACCCCAGCGTGGTGTTTGTCTTCCTGTCTGTGTTTGCTGTGGTGACTATCCTGCAGTGTTTCCTGATTAGCACGGTTTTCTCCAGAGCCAACCTGGCAGCAGCCTGTGGAGGCATTATCTACTTCATGCTGTACCTGCCTTACGTCCTGTGTGTGGCATGGCAGGACTATGTGGGCTTCACACTCAAGTTCTTTGTGGTGAGTAATGCTGGCCCTTCTGCAGTAGCTGCACTCAGGGCCACTCCAGGCCTTTGACCTCCCCTCTGCAGTCCCAGAGTAGAAGCAGCAAGTTGAGAACAGAATGAGAGTCTCTTACCAATGAGACTTGAACCTCAGTTCTAGATTCTAAGCTCTTTGAAGTCAGGGGTTGTGTCTTATTAAATTATTTATCTTTAGTTCTCTCAGTGAATGCTGGTTGAATTGAATTTTTCGAAGCCAAACTGCATTTGAACCTGTCTGGGGATCGGTGGCATTGGGGAATGACTTTAGGCAATAGATGCCATCTTCACCCTTTCTCTCTTAGCTCTGTTGTCCACATTAAGCTTGCCACAAAGTGAGGGCCACAGGTAGAACTGAGGTCAGATGTGGCTCCTTCTTGACTCTGGTCCCTTGTGTCCAGTGTGGTGTTTTGCTTGAGTATTGTTTTTCTGACCTGAGCAAGACTGAGAAGCAGGTATCCTGTCTTCCCATAAACCCCTAACTTGGACACTTCCTTCCCTTATACAGAGTAGGGGAAGCCTTGGAGCCCCTGTAAGAGCAAGTTTCCGGCTGTCTCTGGCTCACTTATAAGGAAAGCTAACAGTCACTCACAGGATACTCCAGGTGCCTCATTCTCACCCCCATAGACATCAGCAGCCCCTGACAGGCTCCTCTGATCCTGAGTCATCACTGGCTGAGCACGGAGCCTGAGAAGACCTTGACAGAGAGTGTGTGGGTGTATGTGTATGTAGGGGGCAGGATTGCTGAGCCTTGGGGTATCTTTAGAAGCATAAAATTCTAAAAGTTTGACATTCCATCATACATGCATTTCTGAAATGTGTGTGCATAATGAGTGGTTATAAATGGAATCATTTTATATGCTACAAGGGAGCCCACTCCCCTAAAGGGACTCTGTAGATGAATACTTCCATATCCTATAATTGATCCAATTTGCAAATTCAAATTTCTCCAGGTGTAATTTACATGAGAAGTGATAGAAAAATGAGAGAGACAAGGAAATAGATAATTGACTTTGCCTCTTTCTCACAGAGTCTGCTGTCTCCTGTGGCTTTTGGGTTTGGCTGTGAATACTTTGCCCTTTTTGAAGAACAGGGCATTGGGGTGCAGTGGGACAACCTTTTTGAGAGCCCTGTGGAGAGAGATGGTTTCAATCTCACCACTTCAGTCTCCATGATGCTGTTGGACAGCTTCCTCTATGGGGTGATGACGTGGTACATCGAGGCTGTCTTTCCAGGTACGCTGAGCTTCCACACTGCTTTGGCATCTGCTAGGGAAGCATGATCTCTAGCTGCAGAGCTTTCCTTTCCTTGTGCTGGCATTTCTGCAGGAGTGGGGCTCCCTGGGAAGTGGCTTAGGCTTTAAATCCATGGCAAACAAATAGCTGATGCTGAAAGTACAACTGTTACTACTTATATAACACTTGTTTCTTGAGCACTGTGTGCCAGGCACTGTGCAAAGTGTTTTATATACTTTGGTTTACTTACTTCTCGTAAGGCTTCCCTTAGGTAGTTACTGCTAGAACCAGTACTTTTCAAATGAGAGAACTGTGGCTCATAGAAGTGCCTATGGTCATACCAGCTGATGTGTTGGTGCCTGAAGGTGAACTCAGTTGGGTTACACTGGTTCAACAAGCCCAGGAGATTCCTTTCAATGCTGACTCAAGTCTGTAATTCTGTGTCCCCAGAGTGGGTACCACTAGGGAGGTTCTGTTTCCTGAGTACAGGTTATACTGGCTCTAAGCCCTTACCTGTGATTTAATCAAATTAATATTCAATACAATTTCTTTTGATACTTTCTTTAATATATCTCTTGACCAAGTCCAAGATGAACCTTCCTTGGGATAAATTTTCATGTAAGATCAAGTTCTTGGAGAGTGAGGTTTGACTCTATTTGGTTCACCTTCTGATTCTCCTCTAGGGAGGTGTATATAAAATGTTTATTACCCCTCCCTGAACTTCTTTCATTGAATATGCAATTTTGCATCACACGGATCTGGATTCAAATTCTGACTTCTTAACTTACTGGCTGAGTAAACTTGGGTAGGCTACTTATCCCTCAGTTTCCACATCTCTAAAGTGGGGATTGCACCTGCCTCATGGGCTTGTTTGGAGGACTCTGAGAGGTGCAGAGTGTACATTGTATATAGTGGTTTTCAGGAAATGTTAGCTCCCTCTCCCCCTGCCTCGATTCCAATCTGTTCCTTCTCCAGAGAGTGTGTCAAGGAGGGACTGGATCTGGCTGGGAAACCTTGGAAATATGGGGATGGCACTCAGCTTGGATCACACCTGTGCTTTGTTTTCAGGCCAGTATGGCATTCCCAGGCCCTGGTATTTTCCCTGCACCAAGTCCTACTGGTTTGGTGAGGAGAGTGATGAGAAGAGCCACCCTGGTTCCAGCCAGAAGGGAATGTCAGAAAGTAAGTATTCCTGACTGCCCTCCCCTTACGCTAGTGCTCCTGCCCTTTGAGAAGGTCTAAAACCACTCTAGTGGCAGAGAAATCACATGCAATGTCTCTTAACAAATTCTCCCATGCCATTGTGTCCAGTGCTGTTGACTTATTGGGGAGTCCCTGTCTGGATCCCTGAGGGACATCTCTTTTATTTTCTCAGCTTCTAGAAAAGTGTCTTTTGATCTCTGTACATTTAACTCCCCCCTTCCCATGCATACTTTTCCTGCAGTCCTCACAAACTAGAAGGAAGAGGTAAAGACAACTGTGATTATGGAACCATAGCCTCGCTGCCTGCTTTGTCATGGTGGCCTATGTATGGCCTGTGCATGCCGGCACCAAATGGCGGCCGCAGAGTTCGGCCTGTGCTCCTCAATGTTCTCATCCTCCATTACCCAGAGCCCTGATCCTCTCCTGGCTTGACTGCAGGTAGAGGCACCTATAGCTCAGCAAAGGCTCTGCTTTCTGCGTTCTTTATGCTCAGTGTGGCTTCCTTCCCAAGTAGTTAATGAAGTCCTCTTCTGCTGATCTCTTCTGTGCCCTTGCAGCAGTAGTCTACGGTGCTCCTTGGCTTGGCAACCTTGCCCACGGCTCCAGCAGCTTCTCCCACTGTTCCTACTCTTCTTCCCCTACCTCTTCTCTACACCTAGCTCCTATTTCAGTCACCTCGAACTGCTGAGTCATGTTCTTCCACCCTCTATGCCTTCATATGTACTGTTTCCGCTCACAGAGAACCTTTTCTCCAACATGCTTGCCTTCTAAACTCCTTCTTACTCTTCAAGATCTAGTTAAGTGTCCCCTCCCCTCAGCAGCACTCCTAGATTCTCAGGTAGTCAGTCACTCCCTCCCCTGAGCTTCCATAGAGTGTAAAGAAAAAAAAAAGCAAAACACCCTTTTTGTTTAAAAATAATTATAGATGCACAAGTTGCAAAGAAATTGCATGAGAAGGTTTCCTTATGTCCTTTTTTCAGTTTTCCCAAATGCTAACACCATGGATAACTATAGTACAATATCAAAGTCATGAAATTGGCATTGGTTCAAATGCTACCACTTAATAGCCACAGTCATCTTCCTTCTTCTTCAGTCCTTGACACCTATCAACCACTAATCTGTTCCTCACTTCTACAGTTTTATCTCCAGAATGTTATGTAAATGCAACCATAGTAGGTAACCTTTTGATACTTTTTTTACTCAGCCTAATTGCATTGAGATCCATTCAAGTTGTACTGCATATCAACAGTTCATTCCTTTTTCATTGCTGAGTAGTATATCATGGTATGAATATACCACAGTTTCATGGCATTTTTAGATGTGTTTTTTAAACAGCTTTTAGCATCCTATATTTTAATTGCATTTCAACTCTTTTTCCCTTCATAGTCTGTGAATGCTCCTTTATCATTATATTTCCATCACCAACACCAGCACCCAAATAGGCCCTAAGCAAATATTTATAACCTCCTGCCTGCCTGTGAAACCAGTGCGGCCATGGAGAGAAGACAATTCAGAAAGTACAAGCTCACCTCGCGTGTATATATATACTCCACTCGTCAGTATTCTCTGTAGGTTCATTTCTGTCTTCTCTCTTCTCACAGTCTGCATGGAGGAGGAACCCACCCACCTGAAGCTGGGTGTGTCCATTCAGAACCTGGTGAAGGTTTACCAAGATGGCATGAAGGTCGCTGTCGATGGCCTGGCCCTGAATTTTTATGAGGGCCAGATCACCTCCTTCCTGGGCCACAATGGAGCGGGGAAGACGACCACCATGTAAGAAGAGGGTGTGGCTCTCACAGAATCAGTCACAGGAAGGTTCTCTATTATAGTTAGAAGTTCATACCTAAGGAAATTGCATGGGTCATGGGCAAGGGCAGGAGCACATGAGGAGCTGATGAGTGTAAAAATATAATCTAATCATGAGAGTGCTTTCCACCTGCTATTTTTGCTAGATATTCTTCGACCTAAAACAGATTGGGTCTTTTGATTACATTTACCATGTAGTTCTCAGAATTCTGCAGTGTTCTTGGAACCTGAGGGCATGACAGTTCTGAAAAACGTTCTTTTTTTTCTGGTTTGGCCAGAGCCGTAAAGCAAGCATCTCAACCAGAGATAGCTTTGGTGGCTTTCAGTGTGGTTCCTCAATTACTCCAAAGATATGTCTTTGGATGTGACACTCTTCTCCTGGTTTTCTTTTATCTTATTTTTAAATGTAAAATCAATGTATTATGAACATTGCAGAAAAAATTTAAAAGGCATTCAGAGATCCTACCCCCTAAGACAATAATTGTTTTTATCTTTGAATAATATGTTCTAGTTCGTCCATTTTCATGCACATGATATAGGCATAGAAAATGTATGTTTGAAGGTATGCTTTCCATTGCAGATTGGAAGCTTCATTTTTAAAATGCTTGTACTAAAATGGCCATTTCCAACACATAATTCCAATCCCAGTTATTTACTAAAAGACTTCTTTGCTTTGTGAGGGTCTATTAGGGTCCATTAGAAAGGTAGGAGGGTGGGAGGGTTGGTGCCCTCTCCTCTCTCTGCAGCCTAGAATGGAGCATGTAGAGTTAAGGGTGGGTCAATCTTGATTCCTCAATTTCTTTCGTCTCCAGGTCAATCCTGACCGGGTTGTTCCCTCCGACCTCGGGCACCGCCTATATCCTGGGGAAAGACATTCGCTCCGAGTTGAGCATCATCCGACAGAACCTGGGGGTCTGTCCCCAGCATAATGTGCTGTTTGACCTGTGAGTACCAGCAGCACATTGAGAAGGACAGGCGCTTTCTGGATATGTATGTCATGGAGTCATGGGTGGAGGGGGACTTAAGTATTTAAATTTCTTTGTAGGTGTCAGGCCTCCCTTCCCTGGACACATTGAGACCTAGTTGTTCTTCAATTTTAGGAAAAGTAGAGGATGATTGTTGGGTGTTACATCAGTCCAGCCACTGGATGGGGGTTTGGGAAACAGTGGTCTCCATTTTTGTCATTCTGCAGGGCCTTTTAGCCCATCCTCTCCCTGGCCGCACCCCTCCCTGAGGTACAGCCCTAACACCCACACTTGGCAGTACCCCAGGACCCTTGGCACGATGGCCCTGTGTTTCCTACAAGACATCGGCTCCCACTCAGGTTGTCCTGTCAGCAAGCAGGGCCCCCAGGGAGCCCTCGTGTGGAGCAGATGAAGATCTGAACTCTGTGACCTTGGGCAGGGCCTCTCCCCCTTGCGGGCCCCTACTTCCTCTTATCTAAAGTAGCAGCTCAGACTCATGTGCTCCCCAGGGGCCTTTTTCTCTCAGTCTGAGGTGCTCTGAGGTTCTGGAGCACTGCTCCAGGTTTATACCGAGTTGACATCTTGGTTGATGGGGCTATTGGGAAAACCCTTTGAGGAACCCATCTTAGGGGCCCAAGATTTAAAGTTGCAACTTCCCGATGCATGGTGGCCAGGCCTACTGGGAATAGGTTGGAAGTGATCTGTCACATTTCAGCTTTGACTTCCTGAGCAGCTCATGTGGTTGCTCACTGTTGTTCTACCTTGAATCTTTCCTGAAGATTATTTTTCAGAAATAGATAAAGTAAAAAATTAAGGGAGGGCATGCAGGGTGAAGAAAAATGTACTCATTCTCTTCTGTTTGGGTCAGGAGACACTATATTCTGGTGCATCCTGCAGGGCCCAGAGCTGACCTGCCCCTCTGTCTGTAGGCTGACTGTGGAAGAGCACATCTGGTTCTACGCCCGCCTAAAAGGGCTCTCAGAGAAGTACGTGAAAGCAGAGATGGAGCAGATGGCCCTGGATGTTGGTTTGCCACCCAGCAAGCTGAAAAGCAGAACAAGTCAGCTGTCAGGTGAGGCCTGGAACTCCCTTCCCTATCCCTCCTCACCACCTCCTCCAACTACACACACACACACACACACACACACACACACACACACACGCACGCACACACGCACACGCACACGCACACGCACACACACACACATGAAAAATAACAGTTGCCCAGGGGCCTGGGCTGGGTGGGTGGGCAACATAAACTCGTCCCTGGCTCTGTCCCCAGGTAGGGGCCTCCCTTTGCCTCTCACCACCTCTGACTTCACTCACTGTCTGGGCTTGGTCCTGGAGTTTGTCTCTCTCTCTTTCTTGTAGGTGGAATGAAGAGAAAGCTGTCTGTGGCCTTAGCCTTTGTAGGGGGATCCAAGGTTGTCATTCTGGATGAGCCCACAGCTGGCGTGGACCCTTACTCCCGCAGGGGAATATGGGAGCTGCTGCTGAAATACCGACAAGGTAACTGACATGTAGTGATCCTGAGTCATGGACTGGGGGAGAGAAGGAGAGGGCCTCTTGAGAAGTGTGGTTGTATCTCAGGCCTGTTCTTGGTAGAGCAACGGAATTGCTTCTCAAGGGAAATGTGGAACTGCTTTTCTTAGGCTCAGTGCTCGCCCATGGTATGGAGGTAAGAGGCATGGTTTATAAGACACTTAAAGTTTATGCTTCATTACCTAGGGGCCTGCGGGAAGAAGAGAAATGGTGATAAAGGGCATCTGCTCTGTGTGCTCTGCAGCCCCCAGTGCTGCACTCTGGCGTAGCACTTATACATGTGGATTATAATTACGTTCCACTATAGACTGAGATTTCTGAGAGCAGAGGCTGTGTCTTTGTTCATTTTTTTTTTTTTTCTGACCGGTAAAGGGATCAGAGCCCCTGGCTTGGTGCCATCTGCACCGCGCTCAGCCAGTGAGCACAACGGCCATCTGATATAGGATCCGAATCTGTGGCCTCGGCGCTACGAGCGCCGCACTCTCCTGAGTGAGCCACGGGGCTGGCCCTTTGTTCATTTTTTTTTGTCCCCCGTATGGTGTGCTAAATTTATGCTTGTTGAAAGAGTGGATGAGTAAACGGAGTGGGAGAGGTGCAGGAACACAACTGGCAGTCTGTTTAGATAGTCTGCTTAGAGATATGTTGTGGTTCCATGTGAGGAACACAGGCTTTGGATCAGCTCCAGCTGGCCCTGAGACTGTGGGAAAGCCACTTAACTTGTGTTGGTTTCCTTACCTATAATAATAGTGGTGCTTACCTCAGAGAGGATTAAGTTAAATGAGAATGCACATAAATCACCCAGCACAGTGCCTGGCATGTAGCAAGTCCCCCAGTAAATGCTGCTCTTCTTATTTCTATGAGGATGCAGTAGCTGTATTTTAGCTTTGTCATTCTAGGGGTCTTGACCACACAGGGTGAAACTGGCATCCAGGTCTTTCTCCCATGCTTACCCCTGCTAATATTTCTGTAGTCTCTGCTGCTATGACCAATGAGAACTGACAGGCCTCACCTGTCCCATGTCTTTGTGTCTGTGCCTGGCAGGCCGCACCATTATTCTCTCCACACACCACATGGATGAAGCAGACATCCTGGGGGACAGGATTGCCATTATTTCCCATGGGAAGCTGTGCTGTGTGGGCTCCTCCCTGTTTCTGAAGAATCAGCTGGGAACAGGCTACTACTTGACACTGGTCAAGAAGGATGTGGAATCATCCCTCAGTTCCTGCAGAAATAGCAGTAGCACTGTGTCATACCTGAAAAAGGTGAGCTACAGTCTCGATGCTGGGCCGGTGATGGACCTGGGAAGTCAGGGCTTGTTGGCCGTGAATGGCTTGTCTGCTTCTGCCCGTTCTGCCATGTTGAGGTTACCATCTTCTTCCTCTATGATCCCTTTGGAATCACATCGTACCTCGTACATGGAAAGCCAGGAAGACTTCTGTTCCCATTGTGCTAGTTCTATTGAATCCCATTTCCTTTTCCTGTGGAGGCACAATAAGTGATGGAGAAGGTCCTTAGAGGACTTTATGATCAAAGAAAAAGAGACTTGCCAAGAAGTAAGTGCCTTGGCTATAAAATATCCTGCCATTCCTGCTCATTACCTTTAAATCTCATTGACCTTAACTTTTAAACTGCAAAACCACAGGTATTTATTAAGTACTTTATTAAGCTTAAGACTGACTGTGGGCATAAAAGAAAACAATTATAATAGTTAATTTTTTCATAGCATTGTTACCATTTATAAACTTTTTTCTTTTTTTACATCTATCATCTCAATTAAAGTGCAGAGCAACCCTGGGAAGAAGGTATTACAATTATTATCCCAGATGAGGGAAGTGAGGCTTGTAGGGATTTGGTAGCTTATTCAAGGTCACCCAGCAGGAATATAACAGAATTGGGACCAGAACCCAGTAACCAGGTATGTCAGTGGCACCTAACACATTTCCATCCCAACCTTGGAATTCCTGTCCACTTACTTGCCTTTTAACTAGGGACTCCTTACTCAAGTGTGGTCTGAGACCCAGCAGCATCAGGATCCTTGGGAACTTGTTAGAAATGCAGCCACTTGGGCCCGATTTAGACATACTGAATCAGAATTGGCATTTTTTTAACAAGAGCCCCGAGTGATTGAACACATTAGAGCTTGAGAAGCATTGAACTAGACGAGTAGCCAGGTAAATCCTATGCCTCAGATGGTTAGGGAATGCCTGGTTGCAGCATTCATTGGCAGGTCACAGTTCTGTTGGCAGCTGTGCCTCCTGACTTCTCACCCCCAGGAAGCAAAGATGTCCACATGGCACACACGGGTCCAACAGTAGCCTCTCAAACCATGGCTGCCCATTGCATACGTCCCAGGAAAAGCTTTTTGCTCAAGTTCTCACACAGTAGGGCTTCTTGGAAGCCCTCCCAGATGAAGGTGGTGGTGGCTATACTTTGCTCGGTCCCTGACCCGTTCTCACCTCCTTCTTTGCCATCAGGAGGACAGTGTTTCTCAGAGCAGTTCTGATGCTGGCCTGGGCAGTGACCATGAAAGTGACACGCTGACCATCGGTAAGGACTCTGGGGTTTCTTATTCAGGTGGTGCCTGAGCTTCCCCCAGCTGGGCAGAGTGGAGGCAGAGGAGGAGAGGTGCAGAGGCTGGTGGCGCTGACTCAAGGTTTGCTGCTGGGCTGTGGCTGGGCGGCTGTGGGAGCGGGTGCAGCGTGGTGGTGGGTTGGCCTAATGCTTGCTGGGGAATCTGGGGCTTGGGCTGGGAGCTGGCAGGGCAGTATCCCAGAGAGCTGAGATGACTGGGGGTTGGGGAAATCCCATAGGGGAGTGGATCTAACTGGATACTGGAGACCAGGGATGAGGAGCTGAGAGTTAAGCCACTGGGGAGGGATTTTAGCTCAGTGTATAAGGAGGGTGAGAGCCCAGGAGATCAAGAACAGACTTCCAGGTTTTCCTCAGGCATGTGTGTAGGAAGCCAGTGTCACCAGTAGCATATATGGATCAGGAATCTTGACCCTGGTCATCTCTGTCCAGTTGTAACAGTTGGCTTTTTCCAGGAAGATTTCTGTTAACCTTCCGTTGAGGTAACTAGAGGGAGCCTCCTTTAAAAGTTTTTAAGGAAGGGTGAATAATCCTCTAAGGTTCCTTTACTCAAGTTTTCCACTGGAGAATCTTAGAAGTTAGGCAGTAGACACCAGGCTTTCAACCTCAGAAAGTCACCCACCCATCTTGCATTGAGTATCTACAATGTGCCTGGCTTTGGTGATCAAAGGCAGATAAGACATAGTCCTTGCCTCCCTGGAATTCTCAGGCCAGAGACGAACATGTGGTGTGACTGAAGCATCTGGGACAGGTGTGGCACAGGAGTGGTGGGTTTCTGAGGAGCAGGCAAAGAGAGAAGGTGAGGGCAGGCCGGCCCTTACTGTGGAGGTATGGACTGACTGAGCTGTCTCTGTGCTCTGGTCCCCCAGATGTCTCTGCTATCTCCAACCTCATCAGGAAGCATGTGTCTGAAGCCCGACTGGTGGAGGACATTGGGCACGAGCTGACCTACGTGCTGCCGTATGAGGCTGCGAAGGAGGGGGCCTTTGTGGAACTCTTCCATGAGATTGACGACCGGCTCTCAGACCTGGGCATCTCCAGTTATGGCATCTCAGAGACTACCCTAGAAGAAGTAAGTTAAGTGGCTGACTGTTAGAGCAGAGCAGCACCAACAATCCCAGTGCTGTCTGGGAAGCGTACATTGGGAACAGGATTACCATGGAGTTGGTCATTGAGCTTTCAGGTTGTTGATATTTGGGCATTGTTGGCTCCAGTTAACCATTTAAGATCATAGTGGGAGACGGCAGGAAAGAAGTATTAGCATTGTTCCCTGGTGTGGCTGTGTCATGGCCAGGTGTCAGCTGGAAGGATTACCGTGGAGTTGGTCATTGAGCTTTCAGGTTGTTGATATTTGGGCATTGTTGGCTCCAGTTAACCATTTAAGATCATAGTGGGAGACAGCAGGAAAGAAGTATTAGCATTGTTCCCTGGTGTGGCTGTGTCATGGCCAGGTGTCAGCTGGACTCCCATGCATAGGGAATGACTAACATTTTTGGATGGTGCCGAGCTTGGGGTGTGTGTTTTAAATCATTGTAACCTCATTTAATCCCTATAACAAGATGAAAACATTGATACTCAGGGATGCTGAGCTGGGATTCAGAATTAGGGGTTTTGGGCTTCAAAGCTCATGTCCTCTTTACCATGTAGCAATGCATCCTTTTAGAGATACTTCACATACCTTGAGGGATGGAAGGGATTAAAAAGTTGTCTGGCCCAGTGGTCCCCTGACTGTGCAGCAGAATCATATGGGGATGTTACTGATAATAAAAATTCCAAAGCTCAGCTCCAGGGCCTTTGAACAAGAATTTCTGGAGGTGAAGCCTTGAAGTCTGTACTTTAATTGCATGCTTCCTGTGCAGTGGTCTGTAGACTAGAGTTTGGAAATCATTGATCTCATTCAGATTCTCCTCTGATGTTTGAATATTGCCATAATATTTCTAGTGATGGGAAGCCCATTTCCTCCTGATCATTCTATCTCGGATAACTTACCACAGTGCTAGCCTACTCAAAATTTGGGGCCACAGACCTGAGAGATTACACTTAATTCATTCTCTGTAGATTTAGAACAAATTTCTTCTGCTGCAGTGCTCTAATGCTGTAACCTTAATTTGAAAATGATTGGATTGATAGCTCTCACCACTGAGGAAATGTTCTCTGGCAAAAACAGCTTCTCTCCTAAGTGACTCTGACACAGTGTTATTAATCAATGTGGCTTCTACGTTCTTTGTCTTAAGGGGCTAACATGCCATTCAGTAATGTAGTGATCATGACCATGGTGGCTACTCTTATAATGCTGGTGCTTATGATGTTCTTACCTGCTCTTATTTTTTTTTCCAGATATTCCTCAAAGTGGCTGAAGAGAGTGGGGTGGATACTGAGACCTCAGGTAACCCTCTTGAGGGGGGCTGCAGACACTTTGGATAGTGCCTCCTGCAGGCTTGCCTTAGCTCACCGGTGCTGTACCTTCCCTTTGAATTGTCTATTGTATTTTCATTTTTAGTGTATAGGTTTGTTAAAGATGTGGAAGGCTTGTTTTCTTACAAATAAAATAAAATAAAATGTGGGACTCTTTTCTTTTGCCTTCAGACGGTACCTTGCCAGCAAGACGAAAGAGACGGGCCTTTGGAGACAAGCAGAGCTGTCTTCGCCCCTTCACTGAAGACGATGCTGTTGATCCAAATGATTCTGACATAGACCCAGGTCAGTTTGGGCAAGTTCTGTGTTATGTGGTATGAACATGAATTTCTCTCTTATGTTCTTCTCAGCTTTTTTCTTCTGATGGCTTTTAGCCAAGGTGATAGATCCCCACATGGCCAAAGGAAAGTAAGAAAACAAGAAAAGCCTCTTTTCCTTTTCCAGTGTTCTATATAAGGTCAGACCTGAAAGAGCCCATCCTCATTACTTCCTTTATTTAGCTGAGATCTTTCTCTCAAGATACACATAAAAACATGATGCCCCAATCTTCTGAACCCATTTATTTATTATCTTTTCTGTAGCATCCCAGTTTCTTAGATATATTAGGTTTTTTTCTTTTTTTTTGGCAGCTGGCTGGTACAGGGATCCGAATGTACATTAGGTTTTTAATTGTTGAATAAATATTCATTGAATATCTATTGATATGATTGAATGATTTTGAAAGAGAAAGGGGAATTTGCTTTCAGAGTCAATTGTACTCTTAGACTTAGATATTTTGGATGAGTGTGTCCTTGTGTGTTTGACTGAGATGGAGAGGGGAGGTAAGAAATCAAACAAATACTGGTAAAGATGCCAAAGCACTTCAGTTAAAAATCGTTAGTTTAAAGTAAGGATTTCTATACAATTTTTTCTGGAACAGAAAACTTTCTGGTTCTCCCAGTCTCTGGTCACATGAGTATGTGGCTCATAAGTTCTCCCTGACTTCATATATCATCAGTACTTAGATCATTTGAAATGTGTCTGCTTTTACCAAAAATGTAATAAATGGGAGACTAATTGCCATTGTAAGTTCTCAAGTATGACAGCCTACATACATGGCTTGTTTCATAGAATATAAGAAATTGATACTTGATTCATCTGGATGATTTTCTGTAACACCTAGTTATTTGCGAATGCATCTCTTCTGCTGTCTCAAGACAGCTTCATTTTCTGTACTCATCAGACATGGACTGAAAGGCAGAGACTGCTATTGTTGGACATTTTGAGTCATAACTTTTCCTTGGTCATAAATTTATCATGAAAGCCCTTTACTTCTGAGATACTTTTAGCTTCCAATGCAAGCCCCCAAGATGGTTGCCGATAATAGCAGAGGAAGGAAGCACGGTGAGGTCAAAAATACTTAAGATAACAGGTGACCTTCAGTGTTGTCTTCTTGCAGAATCCAGAGAGACAGACCTTCTCAGTGGGATGGATGGCAAAGGATCCTACCAGGTGAAGGGCTGGAAACTCACACAGCAACAGTTTGTGGCCCTTTTGTGGAAGAGGCTGCTGATTGCTAGACGGAGTCGGAAAGGATTTTTTGCTCAGGTGAGTTGTGCTGTTCCAGGCCAGAGACTCTGGCTTCAGGGGTGGGCTGCAAGCTGTCTGACCAGTGAAGGCAGGAGAGCACTGTGAAGAAGATAGACATGCTGGAGCCAGATTTTCTGTGTTTCAGTACCAGTTCTGCTTCTTGCCACATGTGCATCTACTGGCAAGTTACTTCTCTGTGCCTTGATCTCCTCATCTGTAAATTGTGGATAACAATAGTACCTATGACATAGGGTTGTCATGAGGATGAAAATGACTGAGTGCTTAAAAGGGGGCTGACATTAGTAAGTATTTAGTTTTGTATTTGTTTTGTGTATTTTACTTTTATTTTAGAGGGAAGCATAAAAAGGATAAAGTTTAGATAAACTGGTTTGCACGTTCAACTTTCGTAACATGAGAAATGTTATACCCAGATGCACATGATATGTGAACTTATTAGAAACATGGTTTTTCTCAAAGTTGATATTTAACTCAAACTGATAGAAAAGACAGCCAGAGAGATCAGAGTATAATTAGCCAATATAGAAGATTCATTACATTATTGTCTGCATGTCAGTGTTTGAATGCTAACTTGCTCGGGTAGAAGGATTAAAATTATTTCACTGTATAAAATCAAGAAATATAGAGAAGTGGTCTGCAGAGAGTTTCCCCTACAGACTGTGTAGGTAATGCTAAGAATAGGAGTTTGGAGTATACAGACCTAAATTTGAATTATTTATTGGCTGTGTGACCTTAGGGAAGTTACTTAGTCTCTCTTATGCTTAATTATTTGTTTGTTGATGGGGATAATGATAACACCACCATAAATAATAACAAAAGAAGGTAGTAATGATAATTAAGTGAAATAATTCTCATTATAGTATTTTCCCACAGAATTATTCACTCAATGAGAATTTTCTGCATTGAAACCCCAGAATACTAGAACCAGGAGCATCATTTGAATCTTTTAAGTTTTTAAAGGATAAATTTCTCAGCAATGAATAGAAGGAGCTTTAGGTTTACTTCTGAAGTATGCACAAGTCATTTTTTTTGGAGAAGATATGGTGGAAAGTTTGAGGTTCAAGGAGGATTTAGATAATTATACTTTCTGAGGCAATCACAGGAGACAGTGATTGTGGTGGCCTCTGATTGGAGCCACTGCTGTAGAAGTGTGGGATCTGAAAGGGTCATCTGTTCTCAGTCACCAGATTAAAATGAGAAAACTGAGGCCAGAGGGGGAAATGACTTAACATGGGTACACTTGTACTAGAGTCAGATCCAGGATCCACGTCTTCTGGCTCCTCGTCCTGGGCTTATTGGCCCAGTGTGGTCTTACTCAGTCTTGTGGGAGAAGTAGGGCAGGACCCAATATTCTGAGTCACCCTGACCTTGATCACGGTTTACTCTGTCAAGTTCCCATCTTAATGCCTCTGCCAGGTGCCATAGCCTCTGGCCTTGTGCTGCTTGCTTCAAAGAGGTCTAGTTTTCAGGCTCTATGGCTTCCCAGCTGTCAGGAATGCCTTGGTGGAGCTCAGTTCTGGGCTCCTACTCTTTATTCCTGTGCTGACTGGTCTGGAAGCTGGCCGGACCGGTAGGGGGTTGCCCCTTGGCCCTTTTTCTAACAGTCACCCTTTTCCTGCCATCCCTCCTTTCCCCTTCACTGCCTGGTTATAGATCGTCCTGCCAGCTGTGTTTGTCTGCATTGCCCTGGTGTTCAGCCTGATTGTGCCACCCTTTGGCAAGTACCCCAGCCTGGAACTTCAGCCCTGGATGTATAATGAGCAATACACATTTGTCAGGTATGTGTTTGTTTTCTGTGTCCCAGGAGAGAGGGGTTCAAGCTGACCAAGGGTGTTTACTATGCTGAGGAGCCAAGGGAATGGACTCCAGAATTACACAGTGGAATGGAATTTGGGGGGTGGGGGTGGGGAATGGATTTTATCACCTGTGGCTCAGACCCCTACACAAGCTAATATTGCATACAAAGAACAGCACTGAACTAACCCTGACCTAGTAGGCCAGTTGTCTGTTGCACATTTCAGCCCCTCTCCTCTTTATGCTGCTGTTGTGAGGAAAAGCCATAAGTGTCTTAAGTATAATAATCTACTCTTGCCAAGATCTTTGATTAAGTTATAAAATATTTGGAATTTTAGGACCATGTTTTAATTTTGTAATGGAGTTACAGGGCTTCCATACACTGTCAAAGCATAGGACCTCCAGGTTCTTGTTTTCTGCACGATACAATTCATATAATTATTACCTATTCTTTTAAGTTTGGGATATTAGCTAGCTTTTGTTCTTTGGGTAAGAATACCCCTTACTCTATAACAATCCAGTATGTCAAACAAATAGACAAAGGAATGTCTGGATTTTGTTTGGCTTTTGTTCAGTCCTGTAGGATCCGTAGACCTGTAGATGAGGGAAGTGTATCAGTGATACAAAAAGAAACCTTTCAAAAAATAAAAGAAAGGCAAAACAGTTGACCCTTGAACAAGGCAGGGGTCGAGGGGCTGAACCTCTATGCAGCTGAAAATCTGTGTATAACTTTTGGATCTCCAAAAATTTACTACTTATCTACTAATAGACTGTTGTTAGGTTAGGCTACTTAACTGTTTGCATTTATGACATACCTAACCAAAAATCTTCTGATATATTTACTGAAAAAAATCTTCATATAAGTGGCCCTGCACGTTTCAAACCCATGTTGTTCAAGGGTCAACTGTCTATATAAACATGTGAATTTTCTCTAACCCTGTGTTTTCTTCTTATATAGTTCATGTTTACTCTATTCTTTGCTTTCCCAGCTGCTGACTGTATTCCCCATAGCTGTAGAACATGGCCTGTGTTTATGACCTGTGCCCATTATTTTTGTGCTTTCTAGTTGCCCATGTAAACAGTTAGTAAAATCCGCCTGCCTTTTCTTGGAAAAACCTAGTTGTCTGTGCCAAGTAGATAATTGTGGAAGTACTTTTGAAATACTGATACTTAGTGAGTTTTACTTCAAATCAAAATACATACGTAAATGTGTATGTGTGTATATGTGTGTACGTATATGTACACACATACACACCTTTGTATATATATGTATGCGTGCACACAAATACATACACGCCTTCCTACATATAACATATTTACACAAGCTCCACCTAAGAGTGCTGTATATTAGACTAATACCAGATATACGGCCAGAGTCTGAGCTCCTTGTAGGTGGGTTCTGTGTTGTTTTTATTTCTGTTGAAAGAGTCTGGGCCGGCCCGGTGGCGCACTGGATAGTGTGACGCTTGGGAAGCGGGGCGGCACTCCTGCCCGAGGGTTCGGATCCCACGTACAGACCGGTTCCCGCTCACTGGCTGAGTGAGGCGCGGGAGCAACACCGAGGGTTGCGATCCCGTTGCCGGTCCCCGGTCCGGTACGGGGGCAACACTGAGGGTTGCAATCACACAGGAAGTGCTTCATAAAATGTTTAATTTAGGAGAACTTTTCTATATCCTGATTCCTGATTTGGATGAATTACTGAGCTGGCTGCCTCTCATGTACCCACAGTAATGATGCTCCTGAGGACATGGGCACCCAGGAACTCTTGAATGCACTCATCAAAGAGCCTGGCTTTGGGACCCGATGTATGGATGGAAACCCAATCCCGTGAGTGTCACTTTAGCTGTAAGCTGGCTTCCTGTGCTTGTCACCTGGCTTGATTTCTAATACACTGCATTTATCAGCTGCATGCCACATGTGACTACCTTCATTTGCTCTTTGAGTCATTATTTTTTTAATTTAAAAAAGCCAGTGTAGAATCTAATCAGACCATCTAGGAACAAACATTTGGGAGTCTTCTAACATCCTGCAAAGCACATCATTACAGACGTTTGTTTACTGCTTTAGAACATTAATATTTAATTTCAATAGCACTTTATACTTACTGACCAAATGCTTTTCCCCTATCTCCTTCTCTCTAACTCCTGTTCCTGAGTGCATCGATAGGCTGCCATTATGTATAATTTGCAAGTTTGCTTTTCAGCTTCTTTACTTGATCAACCTGAAAAGATGACATACTAATTTTTATAAAAATGGACACTCTTCTTTTAGAATCATATATTTTTATCATACTTTCCTTCAAAAGCCTTCTCCGAAAAGTGGGCAGTGGATAAATAAATTCAGAGAAATACCCTCCACCTCTAAGCATGTGTAGGGGAAGGTAAGACAGGAAATCATGCGGTAAAGACAATGGAGAGGGGCAGGTTCAAGTTCCAGGCTCAGGCAGAATTTGCAGCTGAAGTTGTTAAATCACAGATGGTGATCCCTGAAGAAAAGCAGCCAGGCTGCCTTTCTGTTGTTCTTAGAATATGGAAACTCATTTCTTCTCAGGGCCCTTATACCCGCACTTTGCACTGCTTCTGCTTGGAATGTTATTTTCCCCAAAATATTTGCCTAGCTTCTTCTCTCTAGTCATTTATGTTTTGGCTGAAGTATCATCTCTCTAGGAGTTCCATTCTCTCTTGTCACTCTCTCCTTATTTTGCTTCATTTTTGGCCATCTAAGATTACATTGTTTAACTATTTATTTATGTCTAACTCCTCCATGGGCATGGAGGCAGGGATTTTATTTTGTCCACCCCAGACTCTCAAATATGCAGAACAGTGTCTGGCACACAGTAGATGCTCAATGAATATTGGCTGTGTGGACAAATGCTGGAGGATTGTATTGAATAGAGTTCAGTATATGAACAATTAGGGCCTCTTTGTGTTCCATTTTCCTTATGTATCAAATGTCACAGCTTACAAGGCTGCTGAGGGATCAAACAGTCAAATGAGATCATGCTCATCTTTTCCAGATGGTGCAGGATAGATGCAAGTTGTGGTTAAAATATGACCTTGCAACTCCTGAGGTGACAGACTCTTCTAAATGAGCCTACCCTTGATGTCCTCTCTTTGCAGAGACATGCCCTGCT